TACCTGTTGTTGAATTATATAATCCAGCTATTAAAAATCAATCACATTATTTACCAATGGAATTAGTTACTGTTGATGAATGGCAACGTAGTTTAAAACCATTAACAACTGAACAACGTGCTAAAGTAACTAAAAAAACTGTTGTTCGTCCTGGTGAACGTTATGGTATGATTCGACGTATTGCTGATGAACGTCATTTTAATAATGATTTATATCTTGAAAAATTTGGTATTAATATTGATATTAATGAAATGATTATGATATCAGCTAGAATATTACCATCACCTGAAATAAAATATAAATCATTACAAGGTGATCAACGTGATGTTATTGAACGTGTACAAATTGGAAAATGGTGGTTAAATAATCGTTTTAATAAAGCACGTGAAATACGTACATGGGCTGTTATTCTTGTTAGTCAACGTGAACCTGATAATCGACAAATACGTTTAGCAAGAGATTTTGCTAGTAGAATTCCACAGGTTTTTTTTAATTTATTACAAAAAAAAAAAAAAAAGAAAGTTTTTGTTTTAATTAAAAGGCTATGTCAAAATATGGTATTCGATTTAGTTCACCAGCTATTGAAAAATCTGATGCAGCTGTACCACAAACAATATTAGCTCGTATGAATGAACTTAAAATGCAAGGATGTGAAGTTATTATTTATATTCTTAATCAAGTTGGTGATGATATTTATCATGCTATTAAATTTTTTGGAAATGTTAAAATTGGTAAGACTTACTTTTTCTATATATGAAAAATAATTTTGTTTTTTTTTTGAAGGTATGGTAACTCAATGTACACGTTTTGATCGACTTATGTCAAATAGTGATAATCGTAAAATGGATATGTATATTCAAGTATGGTTTTTTTTTCTTTGATCTTATTTTTATTAATTAATTTTTGTTAAAAGAATTTGGTACAAAAATTCAATGCAAAATTAGGTGGTGTTAATCAACTTGTATCATTAATGCGTGCATTAACATCACCATCAGCTCGTTCAGATGTATTTATGTTTTTTGGTATTGATTGTACACATATAACATGTTCACGTGAACGACCGTCAATTGCTGCTATTATTGGATCAATAGATTCAACAAGTTTGGATCTTTTCCTTTTTTTTAGTTCAAAAAAGGAAGATTTATTTTTATTATAGGTACACAATATGCTAGTCGTGTTGTACAACAATATTCACCAAAAGGAAAAATCGCTCTTGAAATAGTAAAAGATCTTCATATACTTGTTGGTGAATTATTACGTGAATTTTCTAATCATAATTCACGTTTACCAAATAAACTTGTTTTTTATCGAGCTGGTGTTGATGATGGATCATTTCAAAAAGTACTTGATAATGAATTACGAGCTATACAACGAGCATGTAAAGGTAAATTTTGTTATTTTGTAAAATATTATTTAAAATTCTATTTTATTATTGTGTATAGAATTATATGGTCATAATCAATTACCTCAAATATGTTTTGTTATTGTTAAAAAACGTCATAATACACGTTTTTTTGTTTGGGATAAAAAATCAAATCAAACAAATAATATACAACCAGGTTAATAAAAAAAAAAAACAACAAATAAATAATTAATTGTTGTTCTTGTGTTTATTAATATTTAGGAACAGTTATTGATACAAATATTATTTCACCAAATGGTTTTGATTTTTATCTTAATTCCCATGCAGCTATACAAGGTACATCAAAACCAGTACTTTATCAAGTTTTATATGATGAAATTGGTTTTACATCAGATGATATTCAACAATTAACGTAAGAATTTAATTAAATATATGTGAAAAAGAAACTTTTTGTTGATATAAATAGATATTATTTATGTCATACTGATGTACGATGTACAAAATCTGTATCTGTTCCTGCACCTGTTCATTATGCAACACTTTGTGTTTCACGTGGTCTTAATCTTGATTATGAAGGACAAATGGCAAATGAACAACGAAGTATTGCAACGTAAGTTTTTTTTGTCAAATATGATAAATGAAAATTTTGTTTGATTTTAGTTCGGATTTCGAAGAAACATCATTGGATGAAAATATTATCATTACTTTAGATGATGTTCAAACAACAAAAATTGATTTTAATCCATCGATTGAAAATACAATGTGGTTTGCATAAACATTTTTTTGTTCTATTGTATATAGATCTTTTTTTTTTTGTTTTGTTTTTGTCTTTTTTTTGTTAATTGGCATTTGGTCAAATATGACCATGCATTTGCTTGTGTTTTTTTTGTTTTCTATGTGTGATTTTTTTTTGTTACTGTTTTTTTTTTGTTTTCTTAAGTGATGTTTATTTTCTTCTTTTTTTTTTGTTTGCATATCTTTTTTCTTTTTTTGTATATGTAACTGATTATTATGATTAGATGAGGAAATTGATTGACCATTGAACGAAGAATATTATCTTTTGAAATAACCTATTCAAATTTGTGGAAAGTTACGCTTATTATTAAGTGTGAAGCAACAATAATCACTATCATTACTTTCTGATACATCATCAGAATTAGATGTGAAATATTTGATTATATCAATCATTGAATTGGTTTTCTTTTGTTCATAATTGATACTACTTCAGACAAATCATTAGAATCATCCAATTCATTAAATAAATTTCTTGAATCATCATTTATTGACATAAAGCTAAGTTAGTTGGTCAAAAAAGATGAAAATAACAGAAAGAGAGTGCAGAGAAAGCTATGAACTTAATAAAGATCTAGAAATATATTTGAAGTCAGATGAAAAGCATAGTGAGATCTTGATGAGAGCTTATAACGTTGATGAAAAGACAAGAAGTGCACTTTTTTAAGGACTATTCAAATGAATTATTTGCGTGAATCAATCAGAATTTTATTGAATTTCTCTGTTCTTGAATACAATACCACTATCAAAAATTATCTTTTTAAGATTCGATAGAATGTCATCGAATTGCTCGTTCTTGATTCAGTCATTGTACCTTGTTGCAAATAGTCTATCTATATGAGATACATTTATTTTTCATTCTCCGACAATCTTCAATATTGAGAATATCCTGAGTCGAGCATTTTTCGTATTCGAAAAGTTTCTATTCATAAAAACAATGGAAGCATATTCATAAGTGTCTTTCGAAATTGATTATGGATGGATGAATGGGTGGTCGTGGCTTATTCTTCACATATGCCAACGTTTGCATCATGAGATTTGTTGATCGATTACAGTCTTACTATCAATCAAGTGAGAATAGTTGATATTGAAGGTGAAAATCTCAAATCAGGCGACAACATAGCCTTGACAAAAATGCAGGTTAAAGACTTCTCACGTCTATTTCAAATTGTTTGTTGATTTCAACTAATAAAATATTGTTAATCATTGTTAGAATAAAGAACAAGACTATGCATCTCGAGAATTATGCAGATCTTTGAGGATAAGACTGAGAAAGAGCTCACATATCTTGCATCAATTTTGTATTTTAATGTCATTCGATTTAAAAACTCTTTTAGTGCTATGTATTTCTTCAGTAGATCGTTGTTAACGGGTGATTGATCTAACAAATCAATACTGATTTACTCATTTATTTTCAAACGATCACGATATATTCAAGAGAACGAGCTAGAAAAAAACTAAAGACACTAGGAAAGAAATATGAATGAAAAGGAAGAATACCTGAACAATATCACAAGAAGAGAACGCTTTGAAAATACCTAAGTGAAAAAAAGAAAAAAAAAAGAGTTACATTGGGTCAATGTCGATAACACGAACGCGCTAGCTATTTTGACTAAAGAAAGACTACTCATGAATATTTCATTTATTTTCGTTTCTCAAAATCAAAATTCGCCATGATAACTTTTGGTGAATATTTTCAGAATGCTTAGACGTACTAATAACTGGTGACTCAACTAAACTTTTTTATTTAATGCGCTGCTCCTTTGATCGTACGTTTTTCATGAGAAAGAACACTGAAAAGAGTGATATCTCGCTGCCAAATTTGTTTCTTGAAAATGTACGATTTAGTTAAGAAGCACTGAGAATTACTATAATTACTCGTTCTTCCATTGGTTTCTTTACGACGCTATTTCAGTGTTCCAGTTCAAGCTGTTGTAAAATGTGTGAGTTGTTCCATATTTTTCTGTATTTTCATGTGAACTTGATATTTTCCAAAACAAAATTCTTGTAATTATTATAACGTTGATAAAGACGATAATTCAGAGAGTTCGTCACTGTGCTTCTCAATGTCACTCAAATGATTTCAGACTCATAATATTGTGAGTTGTACTAAAATAATAGAACCAAATTCTTTTCATATAAAATGCAGAATTTCTACGTCATAATATACATATTATACTGTTGAAAAATTTAAAGATGGATGAGTGATTGTACAGCTGAAAAAACTTTTCTTTTGATCTGAATAGCTAATTTATATCGATGTCGGGATCGAAAAGTCGACGCATCTTGCTATAACATATGAAGGAGAGTTTCAGTCCCAAGTTTTAGTTTCCAGTTCGGATTAGGGGTGGCGATTTGCTGTTAATTTATTATAATTTTAAATTGGATTTAAATTTCTTAAAATTTATTTTTGGATTTATAGATTTTTCGTAAATGTAAATTGATCACTCCTAGTTCGGATTTCTTCATGTGAATATTCAATTCTTTTTCACCAACATTTTATGTGAACAGATGCTTTTATGGTCGGTTATTTTCACCGGATTTTTGCCAGTTTAGCTGTAAAATTTGTCCGGTCGATTGCTGGCCGGACCGGATCGGACAGAAACAACCTATCCGGTTCCAATTATGATTTTCACAGTAATTCTTCTCTAAAATCTTGTTCGTGCTCATCTAGACTCAAACTTTCCATCGTTCATCATGATATTTACATATTTTATCAAAGACCATATTTTGAATAATGATTGAGAAAATGAAAAAAGAAATAAACTTTAATGAAGAAAAAAAAACGGTAAAATTCTTCTTTTGTTTTTTTCTTGTATCGATTTTGTAATTGTATAAATATTGTTTATATAATACCAATTCGATTAGCAATATCAAATGCATCATGATTAGTCTTAAGTTTAACATAAGCTTTCTTTTCACCATCAGGTTGAATTAATGTATTGACTTTTTCAGCATCAACACCATACATTTTTTTTCCTGTTTGTTTAGTTAATGGTTTATTGACAATAAATACTAATATATTATTATCTTCAATTTTTTTCATTGCCAATTCAGTTGTTAATGGATATTTAATAATAGCAAAATGATCACGATGATTTCATTTTGGTTCTGATCGTCGTGGTTATATTGGTTGACGTTGTAAACGAAGTGTAAATGGATGACGAAATGTTCGTTTTGTACGTATTTTATGTTTACGTGTTAATTGATTACCACGAGAAAAAATGATTAAAATTTTATTTTTATTATTAAAACAAAAAAGAAATTTTATTTTATTTATCGAACAACTCGTTGTTTAAATTTAAGTGCCGTTGATTTAATCTTTTGTAACTACTTTGGTAGTATCCTTGGCAGCAGTTGATGTAGTACTTGCTAGTTTTGTAGGTTTTTTTGGTACTAGCTGTTACTGTTGGTGTAGCAGCTGGAGTATCTTTCTTTTTTGCTGAAGTCGAGACCTCCTTGTTTCTTTTTTTGGTTCCATACTAAAAGGTGGAGATCTATAATAAATAATCAAAAAATTGAAATTAAATAAGAATGTGACGATATTCTGTACATTATAATGAAGGAAACAAATAGAAAAAAATTTATGTCTGTTGTTTATCGGTCTCTTCCAATTCGATTTTTATTGGTTTAAATTTTAGTCAAATTCTACATTGAAATTCTCATTACTTTCTGATGAAAATTAATCAAATAATTATATTTTTATATTTAAATATTATTTGAAATAATCTTTCTAAAGTTCAAAGCCGAACAATTCGTAGATGAATCTAGTAGCCAAAAAACGTTTTATTTAACAAGGAAAATTTTGCACACAATAAATTCATTATATTATAGCTGATCGAGAAGAGCGAAAACATTCTACATCCTGCATATTCAATATTCTTGAAAAGACACAATAGAGAAAAATTCTGCGCAAATAATTTACAAACGGTGAAAAGCAATGAAGATCGCACATTGTACAAAATGAAAAAAACGGAGGCAAACAACTAAATAATGTCATAATCCGGATACAGTTACTGTAGTCAAAATTTCGCGAATACGATTATTCTGCACTAATCTCCGCTTTTGATAAGTTTTACGACGTTCACGTGAAGGATATTTAATTTCGGTATGGAGGAATAGACAACCAACAATAATGTATAGAAAACAACCTGATGAACAAACGGTGTCACTTGTGTTATAATATAGACATGTACTTCCGTACGCACCAATTGCGATAATGATGAAGACGAACAAGGCTATGATCCAAAATATATTTGTAAGAATATGACTATAGTTCCCCGTGACTGAAAAAAGCTCGTAAATGAGATAAAGTTGCAATACATATGAAACTAGTGGCGATATATGAGCGATCATAGCCTGAATATGGGTGATACATTCTATTGAATTGTTAAATTTGTTTGATATAGCAGAGCATCGACATTCTTCATAAGGGATGTTGCATTGCAAGAAGCTACTGTTCAGTAGCATGTTCGTGCTTGATAGAGAAAAAATTGTTTCACGACAATTTTCAATTCGAAGATTAAAACAACCGATTACACTAGAAATGAGCACAATAATCGCGGCGCAGCCAACCATATATGCATCGGGAACTTGATCGGCGTCAAGAGGATATTTGATCTTGATATACATTTGATCAAAGAATAGTCGATTACCAGATCATGAAATACGTTGTTATATAAGGAATCTTAAATAAAACAGACATAGACAAAATGATACAATGTAGAGTAATTTACTACGTCAGGAAAGATTAATATCAGTATCCTTTTAAGGGAAACAAATGTAACAGAAGCCTACTAGTGTCGGTAAGGTTATTTTTGTGTAACTATTAAGGTTGAATTGTTTAATTTAAAACAACACTAGCAATTAATAAGTAAAGTATTTTTTCGATCGATTTTCATGATTATGATCGTATTTAAATGAATTATCAAAAAAGTCAAGTGAATAGTATATGAAAAAAAATCAATTTAAGAGCTTTTTTATATCAGTCAGTATGCATTCTGATGTGTTCTTAGCCTACATTTGGAAAAGTTTTATTGTTTCGGCAACCACAAGCGATATTATTGACCTCTTGAGAAAAAAGTGATTCATAAAATACCTATGAAAATTTTAGTGATGATTCATATGAAAAGAACAAAAATTATTACTGTTAGTGATTAATTGTACAAACTTAGTCAGGTATTTTTATCGAACTTTATCTGTACATACAAATAAAAATAAGCAGTTTTTATAGTACAGAAGGAAAAAAGACAACAAATGTACAAAAACAGAACCCAACACCAACAATGTTACAACCTCAAACAAACATGATCGATAGTATACTGATTGATCAATATATACTAACTACATATTTGATTGGCCGATGTCGCTATTGTCAATATAGCTGTAATTATCAATTCCCAGGTGATTCGATCCGACTGTCGGATTACGTCGGATTATATCGGATTATATCGGAAAAATTACCGGATTTTAACGGATCCGACGGGAACTCGTCGGAAGTTGTCGGCGTCCTAGCCACAGGATTCCGACAGGAGGTTCCGGATGTCGGAATAATCAGGATCCTGCGAAATCCCTGAAACTCCGACACTTTCCGACATCCAGAACCACTTGTCGGAATCCTGTGGTTAGGATTCCGACAAATTCCGGCGAATTTCTATCGGATTCGACAGGGTGAATTCGACCTGGGTTATAAATTTTCTTTAGTGAGATGATAAATATTTATCGTATACATTTGATAGAATGGACTAAGTTATAAATTATTGAAATATTCTATCAGTAAAATAGGCTTGTTCATAGATCATCAGATACAGAGTGCATATGATTGTTCCAAAACTTTTTATTAAACAATTCTATTGTGTAATAATTTTGATAAAATGGTCTGCATGTCAGAATGATGTCTCTTCTGATTGTAATGAGAAATGGCACATGGTCGTCGAAAATGATGAGTGTTATAGAAAGAACCAGGGTTGCCAAATCTCCTGGTTCATCTAGGAGACTCCTAGTTTTTAAATTTTTGTCCTGCTATAAAAATCTTCTGGAACCAGGAATTGGTTTTTAAGAGTTTCTCCTGGTTTTTCATGGTATTTCTCAGTTAAATATCGTTTCAATGCAAATATACCTAATTTATAAAAACCTAGTTTAGTTCGCTTTTTCTATACCAATCTCAAATGGTTTTTATGAATCGATCTTCCATCACATGAAATTTTTATGGGCTAATACTCGAAATAAAATCAAGCGTGATTTTATTGGTGTAGAACTAAAAAATAATTGAATACTCATCACGATCATACAGAACTTTTTAATTATCTATCAAACAATCTAGTTCCATTGAAACCAATTCGCTCATCAAAAAGATATAGCCATGCTGCGAAAATTATATTGACGGCAAAGGTGATAATTTATCGGTTAGATATATGTTCATTGTGTTTTGATTCATATTGGTTTTCAAGTAAACCTTACTTTCTGTTTCGTTTATTATTTTAATGAACGATTGTGAAATGACTTGTATAGTAATACAAAGTAGGTCTAGAAATCTGGTTACTTTTCGATGGTCTGACTCGGCCCGTATCAAACCAAGAATTGCTCATGTGTGCCTGACTCAAACTAACACTGATTATAAATATATTTCTCTTACAAAAAGAATTTCTACATGACAGAACTCAACGATCGATTCAGTGATTTATCAGCACTATTGTAAAATGCTTATCATCATGATAATCTCAAGTTTAATAAGGTCAGACAATTTTAACACACTTGCAAAAGCAATCTAGGAGATAAGAAGACTTTCTTATTAAACTGAAAAAGTAAGATGTGTTGGTGGGTACTTCAGTTGCATGCAAAATATCTTCAGTTAACAAGGACCTCATAGGAATAAATTATTCGCTGATTAATTTCAAAATGTCAGGTAAATTAGTATTTGTAGTTTACACAGTTAATTTTCGCTCATTGTTGAGTCTACCTCACGTCAATAATACTCATATTGTGTAGTGAAACTGACACTTCGTCCGACCTTGTGTGTGGATGAGGAGTACCATGGGATTGAACAAATGCTGTGTTTTATTTATGATTTTAGGCCCTTCAAAATTTTTTTTTGTTATCGACCATCCAATCCTGATGAAGTTTCCAAAAAAGATGTATCTCGAGAGACAGACACCTCACAGTAGAAACTTCAGCTCGAAATATGGAGTCTACTATGAGTTAGCCTAAGGCTTAGAATCAAAATAGAAGTGTTTGTGCGTCCCAAATTTCTCCGCCATTTCTAATGCTACAATTCTCGGATTGGTTTTAAAATGTAGCCCAGACCTGACGCTACAACTTAACAGATCCTGTTTTTCCAACTTTTTTGTGGCTCACCTTCTCAAACAGCTGTTTTGGAAAATATGGGAAAAATAGGGATTACACTTTCCAGAACAATTGACCTTTGCGAGACATGAAAGGAAAAATCGGAAAATCCGGCTCTGTTAAATTGTAAAGCTAACTTTTTCCTTCATTTTGAGACCAAATCCAGATTCTACCGTCTAAAATGCCTGAGATGTTTGGGACGCACGGAAACGCCGAAATCAAAAATCCCATTGTGAGAAAAACGCAAAGTAACTTTTTAAAGTTTTTAGAAAAACCGTAGTTTTCTTGAATATGAGAATTTTGAAAAATCTATGTAACATCTTTAAAACTCCTCATGAAATCAATAATCTATAGTGTATTCGAGATTAGGCCTTCTGCTCTATCTAACGATCTATAAACCACAAAATCGATATATTTGACCAACATTGACTTTCTTTGAGAGGAATCTTAAATGAAACTTACAAAACTCTTTCATGGTAAAACTCTCTGGTTATAATTCGACAATCGGACAATCTTGCTTGTTAAACTGAATTTAATAAATATTTTAAAATAATTTTCTTTTGTATTATATTTATTTTTAACAGACAAAACGAAAAGATTTTCGGCATATGAAAGATGACAAGAAGTCATACAGATGTAAGTACTCATCTGCCGGTGCCTGTGACAGATATTCATAGAATATCAGATAGCGAAAGTTTTGAGATA